GTCATGACTAAGGGATTCATTTGTGGCCAGGAAACTCCCCACTCGCAGCGTGAAAGCTGCGAGGCCAAACAGAAAAGAGTGTGCCGAGTCGCGATCAGGAAACGCTGAGTTCTACAGTTGTACATCGATTATCCGCACATCGACTATCCGACCATTCGATTATCCGTAACAGTTTTTTTGGGCGCACGTGCCGTAGAGTACGCACTGTGCATGTAGTGAGCCATTCAAAAAATACGAAAATTTTGAAAAGTAGCACTCTATTCTATTTACAATGTACATGTACATGTATTTACAGGGTGTTTTCTTATCCGGAACATTTGCCTTATCTGAACACCGCCTGACAGTTGTCTGCCCAGAGGTGGTCGGATAATCGATGTTCAACTGTCCTGACAACATTGGTTAGCTAGGCGCGGCAAATTCTTGTAGATGCCAGGACTCAAGTTCACCAGTACCTCACGGACATATCTTGGTCGACACCCAGCAGCGGATTGAGAAAAATGACCAAGATGGCTTGGAGAAAGGACGTCTTCTCCGCGTGTCTTTCCCGACATCAAACAACAAGATTCGCTTCGGCACTGGCCCTTCGCTGTACAGAGTAGACCAGGGAGTCGTAAAATACCGGTATTTTACGACTAGACTGTACATCGCTGTACATCAATGAGCATGAACTCGGGTGCGTAGCCGCTATGACTGCACAAGCTCTGGCCTTGGCGGCATCGCCATGTTTTCAAAATGGTGGTCGACACTTTTTGAATTCTGTATGGTCGTGGTGAGCCCTGAATGTACGGAGGCACGGTTCCCCAGAACAATCGATTTGTGGCCACATTTTCGCAGTGTCGACTGAAAAACACAAGAATCGAAAAATTAGTAGGGTGGTGCACTATCATAGTAGGGCGGTGGGGGGGGGGGGGGGGCGTGATCAGAGGAGGGGGGGGGGGGTGATCAGAGTAGGGGGGGGGGGGGGCAATCAGAGTAAGGATGGGCGCAATCAGAGTAGGGGGGGGGGGGCTGTGCCCTCCCCTCCTCCCCCTTTCCTCCTCCCCCCCCCCCCCCCCCCACACACACTTTGGCTAGAACCGTTCTGAACATGAGCATGACTTCAAACAGATACTGTAAACCAGTGAGACGTTTGCACGCATTTAGGTCGTGATTTGCGAGCAAAACAAAGCCATTTGTGCTATTAAAGCCATTGTCATGAACAAGACAAACTTACTTCCGGCTCAATGTTGTAAGTTTAGAGCTTCAAGCACAGGATTACGGCAAGAAAGCTTGAGCTGAGGTTAGGCATAGTAGTAGTGTCCAAATGGAAACCTGTACATAATACTATCTCTAGGGTATGGTGGTGCATGCAGCCATGGCCATGCAGAAGGGTACTAGTAACGCGGTACAGATCCATGTACATTGCACATAGTAGAGCACACAAGGCTACAGGTGTATCACGTAGGGTATGTTACGGACACTGACTGCGTGACTATTTGATTACAGTACTGCACTGTATGACTGTTTGAACAGACTGACGGTATGACTGTTTGAACAGACTGACGGTATTCCTCTGATGAAGTGACTCATGTCACAGAAACCGGTCAGGTAAAGAACTTGCAACTCTCCTTGCTTGTCATTACGTGGTTGTTATATTTTAAACTTGCCGTGTAGGACCTTGACCACCGCTGCTTCACTTTGTACAGACTGACGGTATGACTGTTTGAACAACTAACTGTGTGGCTGTTTGAACAGACTGACTGTGTGACTGTTTGATTACAGTACTGCACTCTGAGTTCCCTTCGGGAACGGACACGATAATTGACTTTACTTTACTTTTACTGCACTCTGTGCCGGTTTACCTATGCGCTATCACACGTCACAGAAATCGCAAACGTTTCCAGATCATGATGGTTTCCCGGTTGACGGCACTGGTAATTATACATTGCTTCGAGAAGTAAATGTCTCCTTTGGAAATAGTGCTGAGGGAGCAATTGAAGTGGGGTTCGGGCAGGGGGGGGGGGGGGGGAGAGGGGGGAGGTGGCTGTTTTGCATAGATCCTCTGGAGTATTCTGAGCACTTGTCATGTTTGTGTTGTGTTTCTCTGCTGCTTGCAAACTACAAACTGCGCACCTGCACACACATCAGCACCATCAGCGGCCCCTGTTCTAAATGTGGTGAACGTAACTACCACTTCGTTCAGCTTGTTCTGGACTGAATTGGACGTGTTCCATCGTAATGGCCCCATCACTGGATACCGGGTGAATAGCAGCGATGGCAGGCTGTTGAACACCACGCGTCTGAATATTCAACTAACTGCCTATCAGCCCAATACTGTACATCAAGTTAGTGTTGCTGCTATTGGATATGGCGGCCTTACCGGCCCCGCAGCAACAATTCAAGTCAAAACATTAGATGCAGGTGAGATCTCGGGATACACTCTACTGTAAAAGCTATTATTCTAACGAGGCGCAATTCTAACGATTTCCTACAATTGTCCGGTTTACGCGTACCAAATGTAACTCACTCATTCTCAAGGCTCCCTAGCAACTGTATAAACATCAATTTCTGCATAAAGTTTTCTATTTTAGCGACAGATTTAACTCGTTAGATTTTAAACACTTCGTTATTCAAAAAAAAATTTTTTTTTTACAGTATTCTGAGGAAGCGATGCACACGTCTGCATACTGTGGATTCTATCAAGAGTAGATAAACAAGAGTGTGCAACTGATGAGCCTCCAGCCCACGGCCGAGTGTCTTTATGGCATTAGTCTTTCGTGGCTATTTGCAGGAGTGTCGGAAGGTATTTAGGGTGGTATGGTCAACCATCTGAGCTACTCCGTCTCCCTGGACCTCCCCTGTGAGCTACTCCGTCTCCCTGGACCTCCCCTGTGAGCTACTCCGTCTCCCTGGACCTCCCCTGGAAATGTCCATAGTTTAGAACCAAATCAGTGCAACTTATTGATTCCCGGGGGGGGGGGGGGGGTATCTGAGGCAAAGAGTAGTACGGTCAATACCGTAGTGACCGTAGCTCTTGATTTGACTCACTGCTGCCGTCATGAGTGGCCAGAGATCAAAGTGCATGTGTCCGTTGCTGCCTGCTGTTAGCTTTTGTAGGGAACTTGCCTGGATGGCTAGATGGCTAGATGGCCAGTACTGGCACCATGCCTGCCTGCTACTCACCCCTTCATGCAATGTACAATGTACATTACCGGTATGTATGTACGTATGCATGTATATTGTATAACCCATAGACATTCTGGTCGTTGGGGCGCCATGTGTGCATAAGGCAGCAGCATAAAAAAAGAACAGAGAAAACTAACTACTAGAGCACAGACAACCAAGCTGCCTATACCTATCACGACCAGCAGCAATGTACACATTTCCATCTTCATCTGTATGTCTGTACGGCCCTGTGTGCTGCGCTTGTCAAATCCACCGATTTGTGCAGTTCCCGACCGACCAGCCGTGGTGGTGACGTCTACTGCAAACGACATCTCAGTAAGCATTGTGCCAACAATCACAACAAACTGGACAGTTAATCAATACTGCATCTCTCTGGATGGAATACCAACCACCGGTCTCAATTGGACATTAGCACTCAATACCAAGACTATCTGCAGCGCTACAGCAGCACCTCAGACATATCCCGGTCTTGAGGAGTTCACAACATACCAGATAAGCGTATGGGTCACCAACATTGAAGCCCGAGCTGGTGCTAATACTACTGTAGGTATTACAACACAAACAGCCAGTAAGTTTAAAAGTTGTTTCTCCCCTCCCCATTATCTTTCCGCCCTCTCTTCTTCTAAGTCGTCTCCTTGTGAGAAGGCCCCATTGCCTATTTGCTTGAACGACTATACTGTATAAGCAGAAATATTCGTCTGGAATTTAATTTCGTCTTTTCCGTCCAAGGAGCTTTCGGACTAAATTAAATGTAGGACGAATATCGATTTGTCCAGCTTTTCTATACACTCTTATGACCCATGGACGAAATTTTCAACCGGACGAACTCCTTTTTTTTGGAGTTGGACGAAATTATTGACCGACGAAATTTTCTGCCTCTACAGTAAATAAAAACAAAACAGCCAGTAAGTGCAACACACTGCACAGTAAAACCTGTCAAGGCGACTGCTCGCAAAAGGCCGACCACCTGTCCCAGGAGTCCACTGCAGCCAGGATCAAGGGATGCCATTTCCAGTCAAATGACCCTGGATAAGGAGACCACCTGGTAACAGAGACCACATTTTGAAGGTCCCTCGAGCGGTCGTCTTAGACAGGTTTCACTGTACCGTGTACTTGTGTTGATTACAGTTGTAGGGGCAACAGAACTTGAGAAATGTAACCACCACAACCAGGATCAGACTGAGTGGTCACGATTCTGACAGGTTCTCGGTGCACTGTTCAGTATGGGTCCTAAAGAGAGGGGGGGGGGTATGTGGAGCCGGAATAAAGTACCGTATGTTCCCGATTATAAGTCGCACTCGACTATAAGTGGCACTCAATTATAAGTCGCACTCAATTATAAGTGTAGAAGAGAAAAGGACATATGGATACGAGTTAAGAGTAACTCTCCATCACTGTAACATGATACTATATACAGTCAGAAAGTGCAATAACTAGGCACAAAACTGACAGAGTACTGAAACATTCGACGTCCTGTCACCTAGCTTCAACACATCTCCGTAGCGCTAACCGACAGCCTTATCCATATGTCCTTTTCTCTTCTACATTTATTTATGGCTCAACATCCGAGTTTCAATTATAAGTGGCACTCAATTATAAGTGGCACCCCCATTTTCAGGTTTGAGCAATATTCATTTGATATTTTTGACTTCAGTAGTAAGTCATGCTCGATTGTACGTCGCACCGCCCCCCCCCCCCCCTTTTACCCTCGAATATTAGTGTAAAAAGGTGTGACTTATATTCAGGGAAATACGGTCATCACATTTTCTCTGTGAAGCAATAAATCCACCCTCCAGCACATGCGCTCTCAGCCGCATCACACCAGCAACATGACTCCAAATTGAAGATGCCGTATTTTCCGGAGTATAGTGCGCACTTTAGATGTGCTATTTTAGGCCCTAAATTACAGGTGCGCACTATGCTCCGAATATGAAATGCATGTACTTCAATGAAGATTGAAGTGTGCACCCCCAATGAAGATTTGGGGGTGCGCGTTATACAAAAATGCGCACTATACTCCGAAAAATACGGTACTGACAAATAGAATGTCCTCCATGCAGCGCTTTTTTGATCACTATAGGTCTCATTCTTCCTCGCTCACCGGAGGAATTTCTCTAGTCTCCTCGCGCAACTGGGGAGCACTCCAATGGAGAGAGAAAGATTTTTATAGGGCGGCTTGGTGTGAGAGGTGGACTGAGACTTGACGGCGCTAACGGCGAATATCAAGACCTTACGGCCACGGAGCTGCGGGACTCTGCGCTGGTCGTCTCTCCGTGTGGAGGCAAAGCAAACGCGGGCAACATTCTGCTGAAGCGAGCGTGGAGCTGAAGCCGGATTGGTGACTGACGTACCTGCTTACTCCACAACACCGGCGCATAATGATGTGCATGTACAAGACTTCGTGAGTATTCAACTCAAATTCGTGTTCCGTCAGCGTCAGTATCAGCAAGTACAGTCATGTATTATTTGTTCCCAAAATAACTTCGGGACAGTCTGTTCATGGTTTTCATTTGTATATGACTCGTTCTCTACACTTACGATAATTTAGCGGCAATTCTAACGTTGTAGCGCTGTTCTCTTGTAATTTAGTGGAACCTGTATTGAGTAACTGAGTTTTATGTTTCGTTACATTGTCGTCAGATCTCCTGTGTACCGGTTTTGTGGCACAATGATTATAGCCATTAAATTTGGTCGTCTCCATTCTTGTGCAATCATGCATATGTAGGTTGGTTCTCTTCATGTTATTGTGACCAATTTCATAGATGTTGGTTGCCTTGTTGCTTTCTCTCCCCTCTCCTCTCACCCAAGCCATTCTGCATAAGCGAAGCTGTGGACGCAGCATACTGCTGCTACACTTCAACGCGGGAATGCGTATAATAATAATAATAATAATAATAATAGGTCTCATCAGTGAAGGTTGAGAACAATGAATGGCTAGACTTCATTTGAAAGCGCAGTTTTATACATAAAGTGAAATGAAGTAGCCCGATCCCTTACCCTTTGAGCACATTTTCTCTGTTGTTGGAGGACGTCAGGCTGTTGAGAACCAATGCTCCACTGTTGTGATCCCCCCCCCCCCCCTGCACGGTTAGACTGTGCTGACAACTTGAAGGAATTCCCGTGCCTGTGAATGCCTACAACGATGCACTCAATCAATACCTAACCTTTGTACTAGTGTTTGTTTTGAGTATGTGAGAGGACAACAATGCCACTGAAGAGGTGCTGTTCTACAAACAATAGGGACCTTTCGCATTTGCTACGAATCGAATGCGAAACGAAAGTTTGATTCGGCTCGTAATCGTTTCGTTGAAAACAGGATTCAGGTTTCGCAAGTCGTAATGCAAATGTGCATGGCAACTACGAATACGGCCGGTAGCTTGGCGTACGGGTGTGTTCGCGCACACGTGCATGGATCATGGAATCAAGGGAAAAAATGTGTACCTGGCAAAAAATGTGTACCTTGCAAAAAAATGTGTACCTGACGGATTCGGAGCGTGCCACGAAAGAAGAGGCTTCCATTCGTGAAAATGAGCTCTCCGCGGCGACTCTGACGAATCCTCGAACCCAGGTGACGAATCAGCATTCGTTTCGTATCCGTACGCGTGGTGCGAAAGGTCCCTAATATCAATTTCTTCCGACATAGAAAGACACCCAGAAAAGCACACCCTGCTTTGCTGTTCTCTATGTGCTGATTGTGTGTAAGAGATACTATGGCATTGGCATTCATCCTTGAGGGGCGGTGGCGTTCCTACGGATGGGGAAAACTCGGCCTCTAGCCAAGTCTCACCCGAACCGTGAACATTTAAAAAAATGTCATTGTCAAGCAGTATATGCACATCACACACTCTTCACCCCTGTTGTTCTGTGTGTGTGTGCTACAGGGCCCAGCTCAGCCCCTCAGTCCCTGAGTGGCACCAGCACTGTCCACGAGATTGCCCTCACTTGGAGTCCACCCCCACCTATTGATCAGAATGGTATTATTACACAGTACGTGATCAATGTCAGCGCCACCTCTCCCATTGCCAAGACCTTGCCCAAACAGGTGGTGTTTGGAACTGTCACCAGTACAACGCTGAACACTCTTCAAGCATACACGGATTACAATATCTCTATATCAGCTAAAACGTCGGCTGGAGTTGGCCCTGCCTCCACGTCCATTTTAGTTACCACCGCAGAATCCAGTAAGTTAGGAATCGACCTTCGAAGTGTGCATGTCAATAGGGCTCCAAAGTGTACATGATGTCAATAGGGTTCCAAAGTGTGCATGATGTCAATAGGGTTCCAAAGTGTGCATGATGTCAATAGGGTTCCAACGTGTGCATGATATCAATAGGGTTCCAAAGTGTACATGATGTCAATAGGGTTCCAAAGTGTGCATAATGTCAATAGGGTTCCAAAGTGTGCATGATATCAATAGGGTTCCAAAGTGTACATGATGTCAATAGGGTTCCAAAGTGTGCATGATGTCAATAGGGTTCCAACGTGTGCATGATATCAATAGGGTTCCAAAGTGTACATGATGTCAATAGGGTTCCAAAGTGTGCATAATGTCAATAGGGTTCCAAAGTGTGCATGATGTCAATAGGGTTCCAAAGTGTGCATGATATCAATAGGGTTCCAAAGTGCGATGTCAGGTCATTGATGGATGTGTGGCGACTGAGTTTCTACTAACATTACCATTCTCCACCAGCATGTGGTATTTTGCAGTGAGAATTTCAAATGTTACAATGTACTTGTGCAAATTAGGATAGATGCCCCAACCAAAGTAACCACTGATACAGTATTATTATTACTTTCTGCTTTCGAGACATGAGTCTGCCAGTTCCATCCTCCTTTGTTGTTTCACCTGGGCCATGCTCGAAAACAATGGCCAAGGAGTTGTGAGTTTTGCTTCGAAGAAACCAGTTAGTGCCACTGTTGTTAATTTATGTGAACTTTAGCAGATGTGTCGGCAGCAGTGGCTGCTACATTCCCGTCTTGGCAGGCACCAGTGACATCTGACGATGAAAAAAAACTGCTGGCGTTTGATGGGCTGTTCTCGTACCCTTATACCTGGTGGCTATAGCACAGTATTATGTGCAGAGTTCTAGCCAGGTCAACATAGTAGGGGGGGGGGGGGGGAACAGTTACCCCGTAACCCATTCTCCCATTTTCAAAATAACGGTCGAACTGCAATGCGAAATGCAATGTACGGGGCGAACACCTGACTTCACCCCAGACAAATGTGCCTTTATGAACTCTCTAGTACTGACTTTCGACTGCATTTTCGGAAAATGAGTAGGGGAGGGGGATGGCACTTTTTCACGGGGGGGGGGGGGGGACACAAACAGAGTGGGGGGGGGGGGGGCTGTGCCCCCTATCCACCTTCGGCTAGAACTCTGATATGTATATGGTAATGCTGAGCAGTCCAAGTAAGTGGAACAACTCAGCTACACCTACCTCGTACACGAATTCTCGAAATCACCTCTTTTATAGAAAAAAGTCTTCTTGGAGACAAAAAAGATACAGCACTCAATGTTAGTCCATGTGTATTGTTGTGTTTGCTGCAGTGCCATCAACCGGTCCTAGCATAGAGTCCGTGATTGCTCTATCCAGCTCAACTATCCATGTCAACTGGTCAACGCTAGCACAACAGGAACTGAATGGTGTTCTCCAGGGCTACCGGGTCCAGTGGACAAACGCTGCTGGTCAGTCAGAAAAGCAGGAGTTGAAGGCTAACGTGACATCAGTTGTTCTGACTAATCTCACAGCACACACGCTGTACAATATATCAGTGAGTGCCAAGACCACTCCAGGCCATGGTCCGTATGGAGCAGCATCAGCAATACAAACACAAGAGAATGGTGAGTCTACACCGGGGAGTTCAAGTGGAGTGCAGCCGACTGCTGATGAACACGATTGTGCAGGAGAATTAGTTCAGACAACTTCTTTATAGCCAAAGTTCGTTATAAGAGAAATGCACCTTGACTGGCAAGTGGCCAATGACAGTACGAGTGCACTTGGTTTACATGCAGCCCTACAAGAGTTTGTTCGTTATAAACGAAAGCAGCTGGCTATTAACGGTCCATTTTTGTGTGCGTTCGAACAGGGACATGGACAAATGTTCGCTATATCACGAAATTAGCTATATGCGACTTCGTTATAAGTGGAGTCAACGGGCGATTGTGACGCTCATCTCACTTGTGGGCTTTGGATTTTCGATCCGGGGCCACCGGTTAGAGTCGCCTTTAGGGCAGGAGGTGCCGGTTTATACAGGTTCCCGGTTCCGAGATGACATTGCTTGTCTGGGCCACACTGGGGATCAGTAGATCAAAGCCGTGATCTTCTTGCATAGACCACACACCACAAAGAACCCTCCAAATCCGGGGTTACAGACTTAAAGCGCGCATTGTTTCGGGTGCAATGATCTTGTGTGTGTCTCCCTACACTGTGACCTAAATCTAATACCTCTCGCTTGGCCCGCTGGATCTACCGTAAAATCGCGGATAAAAGCCGGGCTTATAAGCATATAAGCCGCTTTCTGCATCAGGCTTTAATGCAAACCAGGCTTGTATGCAAACCATGCTTATATGCACCACTGATATTTTTGCCAGGCTTGTATGCACATAGATCTACCACTGACTACCGGTATGGCGGCAGTTTTACTATGCACCGTACATAGCGCATGCACTCTTGACCTACCCGATCCGCGCTTGCATAGAAGCCAGGCTTCTACTCGCGACAGGCTTATATGCATTTGACCCGTTTGATTTTCAGGCTTCTATCCGCGATGTGCTTGTATGCAAACCCGGCTTTTATCCGCGACTTTACGGTACGTGTGAAACTCCTCACTCTTGCCTATACACATGGCTGCCTCTGTAACATTACTGTGTGTAATCGGATCTTGGCTGTTCATCCATTAGCACCATATCCCTCACACACTCATACCGGCTCAGCCCAAGGCAATAAGGAATTGTTTTGGAGATAGTGTGGTGCTTCGAGTAACTGGTCTTGTAATGCAAAAGCTCGAAGAGCTGGAAAGCAATGCCAGGCCACTGGCAGCAACTGGCTCGCGAGGAGCCGCAATAAACCTACCTTGTGCCACAATGGGGTTGCAAGGCAAAGCCAATGCAATTGGCAACAACTGGCTCGTGACTAGCGAAGCAAGTCACCAGTTAGGAGCGATAGAGCTAAATGTTCCCTAGTACCATTAGGAAGATGATAAGATGGGAGGGATGGAGCGTGAAAATTTGATGCTGGCACAAGCTAAAAGTCACCACTAATTAGACTTTGAAATGAAGCCAGCAGCAAGAAAGAAAGAGAAAGTTCAAAGGAAGCAGTTGTACGACGTCAGGCTAAGCGCGCCCGAATCCATGCGCTGGCAGTGTGAGTGCAGTGCGCAATGCACTGATGTAGCGGTGCGCGGCAGATGCAAACATGGCAGTGTGATCGGTGGATGCTAACACACACTAACTACATTACTGCGACATTATCAGTTGTCTGAGGATTGCCTATGGGTATGAAATTATTAGTTACAACGAATGATGCATGGTGTGACGTGTTTGTGTGTGTGTGTGTGTGTGTGTGTGTGCGTGTGCGTGTGCGTGTGTGTGTTAATCAAATTGACGGTGATTGGACTGACTCTGTCAGACTTTGGATCTCACTTATGTCACTCGAAAACCATAACTTAACGAAACAAGGATCTCTTTCCGAACACAACAACGACAACAACCAACAACATGAAGACACTGGTGCACATTCTCACTTAATCTCCCTCCCTCGCTAGCTGCATTCCTATCGATGCCTGGTCGTAGGCTATGATTCCAAGACCTCCGGTCGGATGAGCCTCGCCCGCCACATCGGCACATCGCCCCTACTTCATTTTGTCTTGTTGTCCAGTGTCACTTCGGTTGTCATCTTTCCCTGATTATTAGTAGGGCTGTGTTTGCTAGTAAAAACAAAAACAAAAACAAAATACGCACAGTTACGTGTCACTAGTGCACTCCACTCTCCAGCGCTCCAAACGAAAAGAATGTGTAGATCACGTGCATCAAGAGTACATAAACCAGAGTGTGCAACTTTAACTCGGGATGGTTCCTGTGCCTGTGGTAGTACTGGGGCCAATTCAAAAAATCGACCTCTAAAATACATGCCTTGACACATGTTGGCTAACAAGGATTTTTCGGTGTTATTTGATAGATAATGTCTTCAAGAGTATCTTGGCCAAGTATGGTGTGTCCAATCGCGTCCAAAGGTCCCGAAATCACCCTCGATAGGAATACAAAATTGCCGAAAAACTAAGTTCTCATCGGCTATATTCAAGCATTTTCAAGACTTTCTCAGTACTATATTGACTGGACCTGGGAGTTTTTACCCTTTTATGTGCCAGGAGCTATAGTAACACCGTACATACACAGGATGCGAACCGACGCGTACACAGATTTTGTGCGAGAGTTGGAAAGATTGAGCATCAAGTAGTGTAGTTGTGACATACCAGAAATGTGTTACCTCGTTTGGACACTTTCTTCGAAGTTTTGCATGGACTCGCTGGCGCTTTTGCTGTCGGAACGTCCACGAATGGATCGATGCTAAATTCAGCAGAACCTTCATTACAATGTCATCTTGGCTCCCCGGAAAAGTAAGCATGATTCCAACAAGGAGCAGCACAACAATTATGTGTGTAAAGCAGGGGAAAGTCATCATAGCTTGCCAAGCCAGTTGTAACTATTCATAGGACTAATCTACAACCGTGGAAAGTTTCAGACCTGGCTAACTTCATCGGGCTGGAATGAAGGCATTTACTTTGTGAGTACTGCTGCACAGGAGGTGTTACAGTGGACGAGCATTTGATTCGAATCTACAAGAGCGGCTAGTGTTAGTACCATGATTTGAACACACCGACCGTGGTGATCAGCTACCATTTGCACAAAAAAAAGCCTATTTACCAGCTCAACAGCTCTAGGACAACTGCCTTAGGAGTGCCATGCTGCAGTGAGAGGGAGTAGCTATGTGGTGTGGAGTGTTACAAAAACGAAATCCGAGTACCTGGAGGTAACCTATCCCAATATGCAACACCAGCAGTAGAAGAATAATTTCCTTGTCACAGAATTTGATGGCTGGGCCTAGGCAGTGTGAAACTACAGTTATACTTATAAAACACTAACTGCAAGAAAGAGTCCGATGTCCAATGTCATGGCTTGTCTCTCCTGAACTGATCACGGCACGTAGTTGATGCGATTCAAGAGCGGCGGTGAAGAGGGAAAACAAGTTCATATAATACCTCATGTACTAGTGGCTAAAGAATTGTCCCTGACAGCAGAGCCAATAGTGATGGTGTAGGTGGCGGAGTAGAGATGGGCTCAGCTGTATGGCGCAGAGTTTCCAAAGCTCAGACGGAAGAACAACTTCAGTTAAAGTGAAACACATGGAAGTGAAAGTATTCGCATCACAATGTTGGGATGGATCAGCTTTTTAAACTGCAGCTATTCACCTGTGAGCGTTGTCCAACTGCAGCCTTGAAGTCTTTTCAAAGCATTTAAGTATAGTGACAAGCTAGCCAATGTTTGGACTGTTTAATATCTACTAGTATGCAAAGGATTTTGGTATTTTCATTTTCATCATTTTTCGTTACAGCACTGCCATCGCATACAAAATTAATAGTGTTTTCCTTCTTACATTGCTGCGAGATCTATCGTATTATCTCCACGTACTTCGAGTAAATTAGTTCAGGTTGCAACTGTCCTATAGCACTTCTTTCCTTAGACTCTGACAGTTTCCTACCACCTTTTTCTTCTCCTGTTAGTACTCAGTGGGTTACAATACCTATTCTCTCAGTTGAAGTGTAACACCGAACCGTCTGACGCTTCTCTCGTGTTTGCAGTCTGATAATAATGCATGCCTGTAAATAGTCTCATGTACCTGCTAGCCGCACATGCATGTACACGTACCTCAATGCTAACATTCGACGCGACATGTAATAATACATGTACATGTCCAATAGCCAAGTTTCACTGCACTTTGGAAATTTTGTTTTGACACTGTAAAAGTACAGTACTTGTCGCCGTACTGTATCTACTGCTTATTCTGAGCAAAATGAGGTGCTACTTGGCCATATACATGTCAGTAAAAATGGATATAGGAGCAATTCTAGTTAGGTTGCCATGGTAATAACAGCCTTTTTCTATTTTGATGTTTTTCACCATGTTCGGACACAATTCGGCAATCGAAACCTATGCCATTGTGTTCAGGAGGCAAAAACCATCCAGGAATGATCATAAAATCCATGTTAGCAAACATGTGCCAAGTAAAAGTGAGAAATTTCAAATGGGCCCTTGGACTATGGGTGCAGCACTGTACAAGCTACACTGCTCTGGCACGCAGTGCACAAAAAACGGAAAATCAAGAAAAGTCAGAAAATAATTCAAACAGTGAAATAATTCGAAAGTAGAAGTCCAAAGGATGTTCAAAGAACAAGGAAAAACGAAGATCTGTGCTGAAAGGAATTCAAAGCAATTTCAACCATGTCCTGTCAGAGAGTGTTAGCACCCACAGGGTGAATGCAAGCCTTGTCAGAGCAGAACCTACACTTGGACGGACTAGAGCTGCAGAACGGACTTTCAGAAGGAATGCAAAGATAAGTGACAATTCAAATTCGAGATAACCAACTTAGAAACAACACCAGCTGTTTTGTAACCTGTGAACTGCTTGTAACAATCAGTGATGTACTAGTAACTAACTCCTAGTAAACGCTTTGACTGTGCTCTCGGAAGAACGAAGGATTCAGTAATTCCAACAAAATATAGAACAAACACAGTAGATAAAATTAATAATAGTGACACTGGTAAATTCTACAATATCTGGAGTCTTCCACACGGTGATAAACAGGGTAGATGTATGCATTTTGTGGCTAAAAAAAGGGGGTGTAGCTTATACTCCGGAAAATACGGTATATATTACGACTTTCTGGTGTACCTGTGTAGCGGGCCGCAGTCTCTCGGAGGCAAGAACGCACAAGGGTCTCAGTGAACACACTGTAATTGGCAATTGAAATGTACTGGCAACGAAATTCACTGACAATGAAATTACCTGAATACTTAATTAACTGACTGGCAACTAAATTAAATAACTGGCTATAAAAGAATCGTGAGCAGCAGCTTTGATACAAAGGCAGACTCTGTACGCTAATGTACGGGGATACAGTACGGGGATATGCTATACTCTAAACACTAAACGCTATACGCTTTGAAGTCACCAGCGTGCCAACGCTACACCTGCTCAAGCAGGAGTTACATATTGCCAGAGAAGGCAGAATTGCCTGTGCTCTAAACAAATTCAAGTGAAAGAAAGAAAGAAAGAAAGAAACACATTCAAGTAGTGCCCTGTTGACTATCTACTGACTGTAGTAGTAAAGCTTTGGGCAAAATAATTGTGCATATTGTTATCAAACAAACTCATGTATGAATGCAGTAAACTATAAAAATCAATTTAAATACTAGTAAATCAACTGGAACACAAAGACTTTCATTCTTTTTCTCTTATTGGCCAGAGGCCATCGTGAGAATAAAAGATTTAAAAAAAACCCTGTAGGCTGCATGTATTCTCATTGTCAAAATAATAATCATAGGCAACAAGACTGGTCAATTCCAGTTTTCGCCAATGTTATCATCCCTGCTCCCTGCTCATTGGTCCTGTTGACTTGCTGTGCAAAGTTTGGAACAGGCATACTGACTGGTTAATGGGGTCTGGGCTGGTCAATGGGATCTGCCCTGACCGCTGGGGTCTGGACTGGTCATTGGGGTCTGAACTGGTCACTGGAGTCTGGACTGGTCATTGGAATCTGGACTGATCACTGGGGTCTGGCCTGGTAAAAATTAGAGGTGCTGACTGACCACTTGGTTGTGTTTTACGTTAAACATAGCACATCGACTGTATGCAATACTCTGCTCCTCTAACTGTTGTCTTTGCTGCAGTACCATTAACTGGTCCTAGTATACAGACTACAATGGCGTTATCCAGCTCATCTATCTATGTCAACTGGTCAACTCTAACACAACAGCAACTCAATGGTGTTCTGCAAGGCTATCAGGTACAATTCACAGATGATGCAGGTCAGGTCAGAGCTGCGGAGTTGAAGGCTACGGAAACGTCTACTTTACTCTCAAATTTGCGTGTCTTCACTGAGTACAGTATGTCGGTGCGAGCTAAAACTAGTGCTGGTTATGGTCCGTACGGAATAGCAGCGAAGCAGAGAACGAAGGCAGGCGGTAAGTATTTGAACCCACATCAACTGTTGTTATGGCTATGTTGTGTGGGATTGTTAAATTGGGAAGTTCACCCTAAAATGAAAGCTTCACAACTGGTAGCTAAAAATGCACTGATTCCAATGATGATGGTCCCAGGTTGATCGGAGTAGCCGTTCTCTAGTTACAACCGCTTGAAGTTTCACCCAATTATTACTTGCTGACATCATTATGTCATCATTAACTTGCCCAAACAGCCTAGTCTGAGCGAGACTAGGCCAGATTTTTGACGTCAGAGAGATAGACTTTTTGTACGGGAGTAGATGGGGAAAAAACAATTTCTTTCTTGTTTCTCTACAATAACGGACTTGGTTACCAGAATTTTTTCTAGTCGGGATACCAGTGGGGTGCCATATGTGATATGTCCCATACCAAAGTTTGAAAAACATCCGACTTCTTTGGGACAATGAATGGACAGCGAAAAATGGAGTACACTCGATTTGCCTGCGTTTCTGTGTGTTGTTTAGTCCCAGCTCAAGTAACTGGTGTAGATGTGAAGTTACAGTCCAGCACTGACAGCATCACTGCTAATGTGTCTTGGTCACCTCTCACCAATATTCATGGCACAATCACTGCCTACATAGTCTGCTATCAGCCAGTCAATGCCGCTGACCGTCACGTCAAGTTGCCAGTGTCAGCTAAGGCCTCAACTACAGTGCTAAGAAACCTAACCGACAAACAAGACTATGAGTTCACGGTGCATGGAGTAACTAGTGCTGGTGGTGGCAACAACAGCACAACAATCACACAGACTGGATTGCCTAAAAGTAAGTTGGATTGAAAGACAGCCTACTCATACAACACGAACCACAGCAATAATGCCGTAAAATACGCAAGCAATTACGTGCCGGAAATACACACCTCTTTACTTTGACTCTGTCTGTTGCAGCCCGATAAACGTACTGCGTTTAAAAATGAGTGCCCGTGTGATTCATACATGTGCTGAAGTGTGTAGCATGCACATCACGTTACATTGTACACACTGCTAATATGCATAGTGTGACAGGCACGGGAGACAGTAACGACTTCTCTAGTACGTGCAAATAACACCGGATAATTAGTAGAGTAAAACCTGGTTAAAGCGACCACACTACGGTGCAAGCAAAAGCGGTCGTTAAAGCCAGATGGTCTTTAGAATCAGGCCCCATACTACTAATATTGACAGGTATGGAGCATAGCACCCTTCTTTTGTGCAGGCAAAGCACCCTTGAGTTTTACACCTCACTCAAGTGCGCGCAGCGCACCCTGCACTGCCTTGTGTTACTTCTGTTGACTGCATGCGCTGGCTTCTGAGATCACTTCAGCCCTGTTGTAGTCAAGCCTGCCAGCCAGGACAGTACTTTTGCCTAGTTTTGTTCGCTGTATGCAGGTCAGATATGGCACTATGGCATCCAAAATGGCATCCAAAACTTAGCACCCACCCCAAACTTAGCGCCCACCCCAAACTTAGCACCCGCCCAAAAGTTAGCACCCACCCAAAACTTAGTAACCATACAAACCTTGGTATCCACCCAAACATTGGTACCCACCCAAACCTTGGTATCCACCCAAACCTTGGTAGCCACCCAAACCTTGGTAGCCACCCAAAACTTAGCACCCACCTACAACTTAGTGCCCACCTACATGTATGCGTTGTAGTCCATGTTTGCTTGCATATGTCTGTGGTTATGTGTGGTGTGCAAATCCTGGCAGGGCCTGGCACCATATCCAATATATCGGTGAACTTTCTCAACAGTAGCAGTGTACAGATGGCCTGGACGATATCACCAGTGTCACAGCCCGACCAGTACCGGCTCTTTGCTTACTCTCACACGGACTCCAGCACTACTGGGCTAGAGTCAGGACGAACAGCGAGCACATCAGCTGCTGCAGTACTGGTCATGAACAAGGTCAGTGCTCCCTCCCCTCTTTCATGTATTGTTGCATGTAACTTCTTACGTAGCCCCTGGTTTATATTGAATAGATTTGTCCATTTTGGTCAACGAATCCAAAAAAACAACAACAGCAATGGATCCAAATCGGAAGTTGTACTATTCTTCATGGACAATGTATCATTG